AGAGAGTTATATTTGTGGAAGGGCACAATGTGACCTTATCAAGAAAGATTATTGTTCATCCATCTTTTCATATATTTTTAAATAGGTGTTAATAATGGATTGTAATTAGCCTTTTCCATTTTGGAATTTTTTTCATATTTGAAATTGTAAAGTTTTCAGATTTCTTTTTTAAATATAAAACTCATCACAGTGTAACTTTGTTGTTGGATAGGCAGGGATATGTTGGTAGAATATTTCTGATTTAGTGTACTAAATCAGTCCCCATTACACTGCCATAAATTTTGCTCCTTCAGACCCATTATGTGAAAATTGGCCCTGATGGAAATTGCCTGAGGTTCAAGAAAAAGAGCAAGTCAAAGTGGACATGGGGAATTCTATAAGTCAATTTCAATTAAAACAAAAACTGTCATCAATCAAAAACCTTTCTTTATTTAATACATTTCTATACCACCACATTAGCCCATAGGAATCTCTGGGTGGTTTACAATTACAATAGGTTAAAACAGTTTACATTTTTTTTTAAAAACCCCAATTTAAAAGAACAAAACATCATCATCTTCATAAAAAACCAAATACAATATAATGGGTTTGGCAACAACAACATATAACATGACTCAACACAAAGATGATTTCAATAGCACAGTTAAAACAGATATCCATGAAAAATATTTCTGGCATAAAAAGGTCTTTCCCTGGCACCAAAAGGACACCACGGACAGCACAAGGCACACCTTGCTAGGGAGTATGTTCCAAAGGTGGGTGCAACCACCAAAAAGGCCTGTCTCCTGGCCAACACTCCTTTACTTCTTTAGGGGATGGCTTCTAGAGAAGGGCATCAGATGAAGATCTTCACGAAGATGAAAATGGACGTCTTCTGAAGTGTTGACAGGTAGGATCTCCAGTGGAATTTTATTTATGAGTATAGTAAGAAACTTCAATACTGGATCTAGCAATTGCCTTTTTGGCATAAAGCTAGTGTGGTCTGGATGAGTTCACAAAGGTATTCTGCCTGTCAGCTACTACAGCTGTGAAAATTTTCATATCCTGAATTAATAGGACAATTATATGACTGAGGCTGTTACTTTATCCTGTGCAGGAATTCCTATAAGTTGGGATTCCTTGTGTGTGTTAGGGGTCAGACCTCCTAGTAATATTTCATTGAAAAGTTCTGCCATTTGAAGGGATAGTAGGTATTTAGATAAATATAGGTATAGCTATAGTGAAAATACCTCAAGAGATTTATTTGAATTCAGCTTTAAAATGGTCAAAATCTACCAGTGCCTGTTCATGGCCTCCACACGGCACCTTGGGTTTCAGAACCATGGCTCTGCCAAGCAGTCAAAACACCTCCTCTTCCTATTTGAGTACTTGAAATTTCTGGAGAATGCTTTTAATCTGAGTTCTGGACTTTCAGGCTAATGCTCCACTTCAGCCTGTACAGACCTGTAGATTTCTCCAGCAGACCTTGCCTTGTCCTGCCTGATCGTCACAGGGAAGTGCAATAAGACTCAAGCTTAATTTTGGGGAGGGGGGAACAGGAAAGGATAAGATTTCCGAAATAAACAAAATAAACACTGTGTGTCATGGTATATTTTAATAGCACATCCAGACTTCAGAAGAGCCACATAAATCTATTAATTATATTAATTTATTTTTATCGGCTTTATATTATTTATTGTTATATAATGTATTTGATTTTAATTGACTGTAAGCTGTCCTGAAATGATATGCATAAGGAACGGTGTATAAAAGTTTTAAATAAATAAATAATAAACCTTGCAGACTATTTTGTAAAATTTTAGTTGGTCCTAATGAAGTTACTATTCTCTCCATGTTTCTCTTTTTCCTATTCTCTCCATGTTTCTTTTTCCCATTCTAATGGAACAACAGAGCTATACACATTCTATAAACAGAAAAATCCCCTGTACAACTTTTAAAATGTTTGTATTTTAATTGTTATTGGTTTTTTGAATACTGATATTGAATATGTCCTTATGGATTGCATATACTTTGTATAGTTTTAAATTGCTATTCTACCTTGAGATGGTTCCACGGTTAAAGCTGGCTTAAAAATATTTTTAAATAAACATATTTCTATGTTTCATCTCTGACTATTACAATATTTTGTAGCTCCCAGGAGCTACCACTTCCTCCTTCCTGTGCACAAGGAAGTCTAGAACTGATAGTTTTCAAGGGTTCATGTCACATAAGGATTTCTCTGTTTATCAGACTACAAGTCCTGCTTTAATGGAACAAGCACACCCTCTATTCTGGAACAGGACTTGTCTTGTTTTAATGCTGCATCTGACTGGCTCCAGCAAAGTGCTCCAAATTTAAACAGGTACACAGATACATGGAAACACATTTCTGAAATTTTTTTCAAGCATGATTTACAATCTAGGCTCAATTTCTTCTTTCATGTTTATGGAGTAGCATATGGGCCCTAGGAATGAAAAGCAAACCTTCCCCAATCCCACCCCCACAACAATGTATGAGCTCTGTAGGGAGTCACTCTTGGTGTGAGTAAGTTAAGATGTCCACTTACAAATTGTTAAAAAGATTACAGGAGAGGACATCAATTTGTATTATTTTGCATATTCAAATTTACAGGTATAGATCAAATTTAGAAATAATTACTATAGCTTAGAAGGAAATACAATGCATTCAGATGTGGCTGCTCAGCTTGCTGTCCAGGTGCTAACTTTGGATGGACAACTTCACTATTCTTATTATGGTTCATTAGCTTTAAACCAGACTGGAACTACAACCACAGGGCACCTTCCACTAGTGGCTGCAGAGGACTGTAAAGTAGGATGCCTGGCCTCCATAGGACATGTACACTTTATGCGATTGTACTGATGTCTTGTGGCACAGCCCACCGTTTCCATTTCTGTGATCACAGTGAACATTTTTCAAACTGCTGCGATGGGCCAGTTATAATAGTTACACATACAGCCACTCTATGGCAATGCTAGTGCACATGACCAATGTGAACCCATGTGTGTGCAACCCATGTGTAAGCCTGGTGGCAGTCCCAAGCACTTATGGTATGCAAAAAGGTGATGACCTATAAAGCCCTAAACGGCTTGGGTCCTGGTTACCTGAAGGAGCGCTTGCATCCATATATGCCCAGCTGCCGCTTGAGATTGGCGGGGGAGGCCCTTCTCCGGGAAACCTCCATGAAAGAAATTAGGAGGGTGGGTGCTCGGAGGAGGGCTTTCTCTGCGGTGGCGCCTAAGTTATGGAACGCGCTCCCCAGAGAGGTCCGCCTGGCGCCGTCGTTATTTGTTTTTCGGCGCCAGGCGAAGACCTTTTTATTCAAGCGGCATTTTAACTGTTAACATTATTGGTTTTATCTGGCCAGGGCGGCTTATTTTATACTGTATTGTTGTATTTTAATTTAATATTTATATTTTTAATTTATATTATAATTATTTTAACTTAACGATGTGAGCCGCCCCAAGGCTTCGGTGAATGGGGAGGCATAAAAATGTTTTAACAAACAAACAAACAAATAAATAAATAATATTGGTCTCCGAATCCAAGTAGGCTGAGGTGCTCCCTCATGTTTTGTGGTCCCCGGCTTCGTAGAACTTTCTAGGTTAAAATCAGAACCCTGGATTGGGTGCAGGAGCATATAGGCAGCCCGTACAAATGGGTCAGAACTGGTGTTATATATTTAGACTTCCCGGTCCCAGTTATTAGGATGGGAGGCTCAAGAGTCAGGGCTGTGTTAGATGTGATTGGGAGAGAATTTTGAGCAGATTCCTTTAGCCGTGCTTCATCCTACCCTCCGGAAACAGGCTGAACTTTCAGTCTTTTGAACATTTAGCCCAACCCTAATGTAAACAGCCAAGAATTCCAAAGCCTCGTATGTAGAATTCCTTCCCATCCGAACTGCTTGTCCAGAGAGGCTGCTTTCCTTTGGAGAATGTCAGATGAACCTGGTCATCGAAGTCAAAGTTGAAATCGAGAGATGTTTTTGCAAAGATGCATCCATTCCTGACGTTTGCAACCCTGTTTACAAGCATCAAGACTGAGAGAAAACATCTCCGATCTGGAGAGGGAGTTTTGCCATCATCTGCAGGGCGTGTGGGAGCTGCAGTGAAGGAGGCAGCAACGTCTGCATCCATTTGATTCTTTCTTGGGTTGCCACCACATTCAGCAACTCTTGTCATCTCAAGGCTTCCTCTGTGGAGTGGATCCATCGCATCGTTCCTCTTCTTCTGCTGCCCCAGAGTCCCTAGAACTTTTGTCTTCTCCAGTGAGAAGTCAGGGCCATTTCACGCTGGGTGACCCTGCAGGGGGACCAGACGAGCGAGAGAGTCTGACCTTCTGACATTAGTGTTCTTAGCTTCTCTCAAACTCTCAAACCCATCACTGTGTGAAGGTGTGCATCCAAGAGGGGATTTCTAAATGTGCATCTCGACAAATCAATTAGAATATTCCAATGTTATGCAAATCAGTGTCCTTCGGGGTCTTCTTTGTAGTGTTGCAATTCCTCCCTATTGGCAATGCATAAGTGGTCACCTTAATGACTTTTGAATGGGCTTTGAAGATGGGTTTTGAGGGGAGGGCTGTTTGAAATTGCTTTTAATTGGATTGTGAGTGCTTGATATTCAGTAGCCACTGCTTCTAACTTGCTCTATTTCCCTTTTTCTCTTTAACAGTTTTTTATTCCATTTTATCTTTAACACCGTTTTAACTGCACCGTCAATATATGTTTTGATATGTTCTCGCTTTCTATGGCAGTGCTGCATTTTGCATTGCGCTATGAATTTTGTGACTCAATATGCCATGAACTGCCTCAACAAGGATAGCCCTGAAAGGCAGCTGGAAAGTATTTATTTATTTATTTAGGATACTTGCATGCCATTTTTTGCAAGAGCCTCAGGATGGCTTACACAAATAAAATACAAATATCTAACATAACATAAATAAAATTCTGGAAAAAAAACAAGCACAAATCCATCTGTTCCATGGCTTCTTGGCCCCATTAAATGTTTCCTTCTCTCTCCCACCAGTGGGACTCCATCAATGAAATGGATGAATTTTTCAACCCCATCCACACCTACCAAGTGTGCAACGTCATGACCCCGAACCAGAACAACTGGCTGCGGACCAGCTGGGTGCAACGGCACGGGGCTCGCCGGGTCTATGCGGAGATCCGGTTCACCCTGCGGGATTGCAACAGCATGCCAGGCGTGCTGGGCACCTGCAAAGAAACCTTCAACCTCTATTACCTCCAGTCCGACCGCGACCTGGGCAGCACCACCCGCGAGAGCCAGTTCGTGAAGATCGACACCATTGCTGCCGACGAGAGCTTCACCAACGTGGACTTGGGGGTCCGGAAGCTCAAGCTTAACACAGAGGTGCGTGGCGTGGGGCCGCTGAGCAAGCGAGGCTTCTACCTGGCCTTCCAGGATATCGGCGCTTGCATTGCCATAGTCTCGGTCCGCGTCTACTACAAGAAGTGCCCGGCCATGGTGAGGAACTTGGCGTCTTTCTCCGAGGCAGTAACTGGTGCAGACTCCTCGTCCCTGGTGGAGGTGCGGGGCGAGTGTGTGGGGCACTCGGAGGAGAGAGACACCCCGAAAATGTACTGCAGTGCTGAGGGGGAATGGCTGGTGCCCATTGGGAAATGTGTATGCAGTGCTGGCCATGAAGAGTGGAAGGACGCGTGCTTAGGTAAGTCTGGCGTTGGTTGCTCAGAAGTAGGGCTGCGGTGTCCTCTGGAGGAAGAGGAGCCACGGGGTGTCTGGGAGCACCATGATGGCCGCTTCTCGGAGGGGAACGATGGCGGGGGCTGAAGCGGTCGAGCATCAAGAGCACCCTATTTGATCAGGGCGGCTTTCAAGGGGATTCCCGAGCCGAAGCTCAACCGCAGACTGGACTGTGGGTCTGGGGGCTTTAACAAGAGGGGTTAGCAGGTGGTTCCCCTCAAACAACAGCGCTAGCACAATTGCCCCTGTTAAATTGCGTAGAGGCTAGTTTCCTGAATGTGTCGTGCAGGCCTCCTCTGTCTACAGTCTTCTGTTCCTCTCAAGGTGACTCCTTCCAGGCCCACATGCAGCGTGAGAGTCATTCATGATTGAGAGACTCTACAAACTCCAAGGGGAGGACTGTCCTGTTTGCGTTCCTCCCGTGTCTTGATTGTCTGGCACCACACCAGTGGCTCCCCCACCAGCTGCGCAGGCTGGCTCCCCTCCAAGGTTTCCCCCGGCTTTGCCCGCGACTGGGCCCAATCAGCAGGCCTTTTCTGTAATCCCAACAGGAAGTTTCGACAGCAAAGAAAACAAAACCAAAGTCGGTAGAAACAAAGTTATCTCCTCCCTTCATCAGCTCCCAGAGCAGCTGAGATCCAAGCTCAGAGGATGGAATTTTCCCAGAGAGCCTGTGGGCTCCAGAAAGACCTTCCAGCCTGCGACTGTATAAACGCAGATAAGGAGACAGCAGCTGTGCAGAAAACACAACTACTCACTGGGCCGAGGCGCCGTGCGCACCACTTCTGCCTACCGGGGCCCCCCGAGAAGGCTCTGTTTGTTTCTAGTTTCTTCACAAATGCTATTTGGAAGACGCAAGCTTTGACTAGGCAAATACCAACAGGTGACTTTGTTTATACCTGGGAAAAGGTTAACAATGCCCTTGACAATAGCCAGCCCAAGGTTACCTCTGCCAAAGTTATGCAGGAAAGGACAGGGCAGAGCGAGGCATTTTCCCACCTGCAGGGCTCCATAACACTTGCTGTTAGGAGGCTGTTGACTTTTCTTGGACAGGAGAGTCTGCCGTGGGAGTTAAATAACAGGAGCTGACTAGAAGCATCTTCAGTTATAGGAACTCTCAGGGAGACAGAACTAGCAGGTCGCTGGAGGGAAAGGAGAGCTTCCAAGGAAGCATTGCAAGGAAGGGAAAACGATGGCAGGAATTCGGTAATCAGAGTACGAATTCCAGATAGGGGTGTCTGAGAAATTCATTTCTGTTCACTTTCGAGCAGGGTTTCCTCAGGTCATCCCCTTTGGACCCAATGCAGACTTGAGCACAACCTGCAGGCACCGTTCCTCCATTTCTGAGCTTGCACTCTGATTCTGCTCCTCCCCAACACAGTACGGTAGCATCTACAGGGACAATGCATCCTTTCCAAAACAGATCCAAATATATTTTAATCCACAGGAGCAGAATGTGTGCATTCCAAATGCGGTGGGATTGTTTTATTGCTTTTCCATCGTGCCTTTCTTCCTCTTGAGAGAAAGCCGGTCTGGCTTCCATCACTCCATTTTATCCTCCCAACAATCATTCTGTTATTGGTGACCCCGCTTGTGAGATCCAGCTGGAGAAAATTCCCAGTTTTCTAATTTCTGCTCAGAAAAACTAAAAACGAAACACACCCAGCTCGATCTGCCTTTTCGAGTCCCGCCTATGAAGTCTTACTTTCTGTCATGAAAAGCATAATAAGATTTATAATCCAAATCCGCTGACATCGGAAATTAGCTGTTTTAATTGTCAGGTGGACAAGAACAAGAGCTCAACCGCTGTCCCCTCAGTAATTTTTCACTTCTTCCACCGGGATAGGATATTATCCTCTTCCCTTTTGTTCCCTAATAATCTTTCTATAAATATCAGAGAAAGTCAATCTTTGACAAAGAAAGAAATTAAACCTTTACCTTAATCACGGTGTCGAAAGACTGACTCCAAATTAATTTCCCTCTGCCTTACCCAGTCAGGAATCTCATTGGTTGCAAATATTTGCATGGCTAATGGGTTCTTAAGTAATAGTGACTTCAGAAAGAAGCAGCCCAACAGGTTGGAGGTGAATTGGGGCATGGCTGGCCAACGCTTCCTGAAGCCAAGTACTGGGAAGAGGCTTTGGGTCACACCTGGACTTTCCAGAACCATCTGCAGGCATATCAGGTATCAAGTACCTACTTAGCTTAAGGTCCAGAATTCAAACCTGGAGTCTTGTGTATCAGACAGGGTGGGAGGCTTGCCCGGCAGACTGGGAAAACAGATGGTGTGTTCACACAGCCAGTCCTCCTACAGTTCCCAAAGATCGCTTGACACCAGAGAGCCAACCTGGTTCCACTGCTTCCATCTGCATTCCAGATGTACTGCTGATTTCCCTCCAGCTGGGCAACTCCAGCTTCCTCTCTCCTAGGAGCCGGCTTGCTTTTCATGGCCGGCTGTGCAAGCGCAGGAGCGAACGAGGCGCTTGCCTGCAAGCTCCCATTCCTGCAGTGCGGAACCATCCAAGGACATTCTGTTCCAGGACCACAGGGATGGGGTGGAATGGAGCTGGTGGAGATGCTCAGCCCTGTCCGGCCTGCAGGGGAAATGCAGGAGAGTCGTGGGAATCATGGGGAGCTGTGGTGGAGCTGGGTGGTTCTTAGCCCCTGCCACCATCACCACCGACCAATGGGTTCCATCACCAGGCATTGATGTCTCTTCTGGGTCGGCTCTCCACACCCTTGTGGGATTTTAGAAAAATATGCAGAGATGAAGACCCCCCCCCCCCCGCATGGAGAAAATCACACCGGGAGGGACAAGATCCCAAATTCCCGGCATGCACTGCAAGCCCGAGAGAAGAAGGAACTTCTTCCCAGCCTGACAGCAGTCAACTGACAGGACAAATCCCACTCGCCCGGCTCCTCAGAGAGCTTCCGGCCTCACAGGGATTGCTGCTCAAACGCTTTCCAAGTGCTGCTGCCACGGCGGGTCACTGATGCTAACCAGGCTGGGACCACAAAGCCCACGGGGTGGAGCTGGGGGCCTGCCCCGGCCGTCCCTCAGAACCGCTCGTCTCCGGAAGAAGCAGGGACGGGGCGCTTGGGCTTCTGCTTCTGAGGAGCGTTGTCTCTCGCAGGTCAGCAAGGGGCACCTCCCTGGAGGAGGTGTCCTGTCAGGAAGCCCTGGGTACTGTCAGCAACGTCCGACAGCCAGGCTGCCCCTCCAAGCGGCCACCCCTCCCGACCCCCGGGATAATGAACAGACAAGCTGAAGACAGGTTCGAGTTCTTCTACCCAGGGAGCCTGTTTCCTAGCAGAGAGGAAACATTGCGGGGGGAAGCAGAAGTCCTTCGGCTCAGGTTGGGGGGTTTCTTTTGTCGATGGCCACATCCCTTTGGCCTGATTCTGTGCAGTGTTTTACCAGGGCTTTTACCTCAGAAGGCCCCAGTTATGCATCCTGTCAAGATGGCCTGTTTGCACCATTTCATCAATCTTGGAAACCCAGAGGAGGGGGAAATGCATGCGTGAGCCAAAGGCTGCAGTAAAGGCTCCCAGGCAATCTCCCCACAAAATTTGGAGTGCACACACCCTCCCAGGACAAGGGAAGGCTCCTAAGTCACTGGTGCCTCTGGAAACAAGACCAGCGAATGCAGACCTCCAAAACCGGGGGGGGGGGG